TGGGTGATAAAGCCAATGGTGGACCTCAGTCCAAACCTTTTGGCTCTCTCCCATGAGACCCATGGATCTCATTGACAGGTCCTTTTCAAATGCACCAAAAAACTTTATGCAGGAAAAATCTTGGTTGACTAGCTATGCTATGGATTATATATTATCTGCCTGTTGAGCATAATCAGGTTTCCTCATAATCAATCATAACCCCCTCACCAACTCATCTTCCTTGGTTTTGCATGCTCTCACCATGGGTGGTTTTTATTTCTTCCTGCATGAGTGAGAGAAGACTTCTCTTCTTTGGACGGTGGAAGCAAAGAGCACAACTTTGGAGTTAGATGAGGGTTTGTGTTCCTGCTATTTTATATGTGAGTTGTAAAACCTAAACTCTGGTGTATCCTCTCTGAGCGTCTGCAAAATGGCAGGGTTGTGATTGGGATTAAATGGAGTCCCATTAAAAGCACCCAGCAGTCCTTTGCTAATAAGAAATGACCAATATCTCGTAACTATTAGAATTTCTTGCCTTTACTTTTTAATTATAGAATGACAGTAATGTAGTAAGACTTAAAAACCAGCACTCCTTCCAGAAAAAAATTGTTCTTCTTCTAAGGGTCTTACTTCAAAATTACATCACATCAATTGTCACTTTGCTCCTGCATTTTGTGTTGACCCTGGTACTTGGGAAGGAGGGGGCCTGGGCATGGTCCCCAAGTGGAGTATGCTGTGACAGAGTCACAGGGGACATTAAGCCAGTGTTGCTTCATCTATTTTTTACTAATTCTTTAGGGTTGACCCTTTTGGACTTGTCCCATAGCTGTAACTTAAGATCACAGACAGGCAGGAAGCTCTCCTTCCTTTGTCCCAATTGCCTCCATCCAATATTCATAGTAAACTAAGGGAGAAAATGACACACAGATCATGTTCACGGCAGAGCGAGGAGAGGAGACACCATCCTCCGTGTGGGCATCCTCCGCAGCTAGGCAGATGCTCGGCCAAGGGAGGAGCTAGTTGAGAGGGACTGAATCCCACACCCATCTACTGAGCCTACGTCATTATGGGTTGCAAACCGCCCTCCCACAGCTTCCAGGTTGAGCTCCTGATACCTTATAACCTTCACTCCTTTGGAAGGTGAGGGGAATCTGGGTGGAAATTGGAGGGAAAAAGCAGCACATGGAGGAAGGAGGAGGGGCAGTGTTTTGTTTCCCTCCTTACAGCTCTGAGCAACTTGCTGCCTTTCTGGGCCATCTTGGTGATTCAGAGCATGCTCTGAGCTCTGGCCTCTTCGGCTACATTAATTCCCCACTCTCATTCACTTTCTGGTCATGACACCTTTTCAGAAAATTGGAAGACAACTATTCAGGAAATCAGAACGGCATTGCTTAGGCATTATAAACCGCTTCTGATGGCTACTGGTACAGCCAAAGGTACTGTAAGGAAAACACGCACTAAGTATTTGCATCTTTGGTGATCTGCTATACATTCACAGGGCTGCTCCGTGGTCCTGAATGCAGACAGAACATTTCTGTTAGCTCACAGCAGGAATTTAAATGCTCCTGGGAAACAAAATCAATCAATAATAATGTTCTTCTATGTCAGATGTAGCTTATAAATGTGATCAAAAGACTATTCCATAAAAGCACATAAATCCTTATAATAAGGGCATTTTCTAGTAATAAATGGTTTCCAAGATTTTTCATTGTCTCCTGCTCAGTTTCCACAAGCTGGCAAAGCTTAAGAGAAAGGTTTTTAGATCTTTATCTTATAATACAGTTGTTTATCAAATACCAGAACCATTAGCCAGGTAGAAGGTATTCTTGGGATTGAAAATAGACACAAAGGGAGGTAATCTGCAAATGAATTGATTTTTTCAGTTTGCTTACTGCTTTGCCAAATGAAAACCTGGGAATGGATGAGGCCAGTACTCTTTGTATCCTACGAAATAGTTTCTTTTCTGAGGAGCTAGCAGTATCTTGTCAAAAATTCTTTATGGGTGTCAGGTCTAACTAACTTACATTATATATTAAGTACCAGGTGGGGACACAAGAAATCAGGTAGCTTCAGTTCTCTATAGCTGAATGAACTAGACTTCTATATTCCAACATCCAAGTGTGGTTACTAAGGCGGATGTTGTAATAAAAGGGGGATGAAAACTGTAGTAGCCAGCAAACTTTTGCTCATTCTGAAAAAGAAGAGATATGAATTCTAAGGTAACAATGAAAAATGTCTCCTTTAGAATATGTCTGTCATTGTATTGTCTGCTTCTCTAAATGAGATCCTTCTACCCTTTTTCGTTCCCTGGGCTCTTAGAAAAAGTTCTTAAGGAGAAAACTTTTATTCCAAATAATAGGTCAGCTGGGACCTGGTAATAAATAATTGAGTAGCCCTTCCAGCATCGTAGGCTCACTTTGTGCTTTTTCTTATGTAGCTGTGTTGGTTTAGCCTCCCTGAGTCTAAGTACATAGATCAGAGTAAAAGTGATGAAGGATATTCTCCAACAGATCCTCTTCTAGGAATCTGCTCTGCAAATCTCCCCAGTCAGTCTGCAGGTGTTTGTGAGCAGGAAGGAAGGTGAAAAGAGTTAATAATAACCAGGGCATCTGGGTGGCTCAGGTCATGATCTTGGAGTCTCAGGATCAAGTCTAGCATGGGGCTCTCTGTTCAGCGGGGAGTCTGCTTCTCCCTCTCCCTCTGCTCCTCTACCCCCCCCCACCTCATTCATGCTCTCTTTGTATCTCCCTCTCAAATAAATAAAATCTTTTTTTAATTAGTAATAACTAACATTTATTAAGCATGTACCATACAACAGAGGGGTTCTGCCCTTTAAATTTCATCTCATGCAATGCCCATGACACCCAAGAATAGTAATATTCTTCTCATTTTATGGAGGAGGTAAAACTGTGTATAAAAGTTGGTACTACCAGTAACTGGTAGCATTTATGAATTCAGAGTAGTTCCCTTATCCATTATACATAGCTAGCAGGAGCTTTTGCATTAGTGAATGCACTAAACTCTCACAATGACCCAACTATAAAATATTATTATGCTTCCCATTTTTTACACTGGAGTAACCCAGGCACAGGTAACTTTCTCAAGGTCACATTTAGTAAAGGACAAAGGCAGAATTTGAACGTTTCTAAGGCCTGTGTTCTTTCTACTACCCTACATTGCTTCTATCAAGCATTTGGTGTGCATATTTTTAAAGAGATCCAGTGCCCAACTTTATATTTAATAAGGCAAATATAAGAAGAAAAACATTCACTTAGCCTTATACACTCTAGCTCCATGTCGTTGCAAATGGCAAGATTTCATTCTTTTCTATAGCTGAGTAATATTCCATTGTACACACACACATACACACCCCCCACATTTTCTTTATCCATTCATCTATTAATGGACAGTTGGGCTGCTTCCATACCTTGGATATTGTAAATAATGCTACAATTAACATAGGTGTTTGTGTATCTTTTCAAATTAGAGTTTTTTATTCTTTGGGTGAATACCCCGTAGTGGAATTCCTGGATCATATAGTAAGGTGAAGGGGATTAAAAGTACCCTTAACTTCATGAGCACTGAATAATGTATAGAATTTTTGAATTGCTCTCTTGTATACCTGAAACAAATAAAGCACTGTATGTTAACTATACTGGATTTACATTTTTTAAAAAAGAGGCAGAGAAACATTCATTAGACCAAGAGATATAATCTTAAGATTCTGCCCTTTTACTTGAAAGAGGAGAGTGGTTGCAGTGTTGTCTTGGCAAGGAAGGGAGTAGGTTTTAGTCTTCAAAGGTGTTGGGGATAAGGAGTTTGTCTCTGTGATTTCCTGGAGAGATGGGCGGTTATGCCCAGGCTTTTAGGAGAAGAACTTTTGCATCAAGTACAATGGTAGTGGCTGCAAGTAATGGAAACCCCAGTACGGGAACTTAACTAGGTTAATTAACTAATTAATTGATTAATTGATAATTAGTTAATTAACTAATTGAATTAACTACTTAATTTAAGTTAATATTCCCCATAGACAAGAAGCCTAGTGGTAGGAGACTTCAAGTGTTGTTTGGCTGCTCAAAGCTGCCCCTGGAACCCAGACTGTTTCTTCTTCTACCCTTCCTCCCTTACTATGTTGATCTTCTCAAGGAGAATCATAAGACATTTGCCATAAAGTTGGGAACACAAGGGCAGAGGCTGCACCAGCCACACTGGTCTCAAGTGAGCAGAAAACCAAGAGCTTCCTCAGACTACTCTCCACCCCCAGCCAAGCTCCACTCCAGTCTCATCAATTACCAATGTGTCTCTTTGCCACCCCGACAGGCAGGGAGGCTGGAGAAAAAGCAAGGTCTTACTTGCACCCTTGGCCCCCCAGCAGAATTGCATCCCATGTGGACAGGACAGTGTGCAAAATTGGGAAGAGAGTCTGCCTTGGTTTGGGAGTGGAGAGGAGTTACGGTAACAGGGCTGTAATTGGAAGCCAAAAGGTGACCTTGATGAGGAGGAATGTGATCGTGGCTTTTGTATCTGTCATTACACTGAAGTGGCCCCAGAGCATCACACCAGTGCGCTAACCCTTCCTTCCCTCCTCCTGTTCTTGACTCTCTATTCTTCCGGCCCCAGGCCCAAACCAAGAACACTTCAGCCTAAATCATTTTGACAATTACCAAATCATCTAACTCACAGTTTTCTCTTAATTTCAAATTAAATAAATTATTGCTGAATTAATCAACAAATTAATGAGATGAGGAAATTCCATGCAGATACAGCTGGTGAGGGCCTCTGCAATGGCCAGGAGTTGACCCTGCTTCAGAGGAGAAAGTTCTCAGGAGCCTGTGGAAGGGGTCTGGATGCTGTTAATACCAGAATCCTCATGTACAAATGTTGGCTAACTGTCCCAGGCTCTGACAAAAAGAATCTGAGGAGGTTGAGGACTCTTGGGTCTTGGATTGAAATGACTCTGTACAACCTCGCTGCTACTTCCTGTGATTACAGCTCCATGGTTTCCTTCTTTATCTTTGCAGAGCCAGCTCTCCCAGGCGCTGAACGGGCTTTCAGACAGGGCCAAGGAAGCCAAGGAGTTTCTGGTGCAGCTCCGCAACATGGTCCAGCAGATCCAGGTATCGGCAGCACCTGAGACAGAAAGCAAACCCCATGGGTTCAGATATTGCTGCATCGTGGGGAAGTTTGTCTATTTCTTCTACTTTTCTGTGTTGTGGGGGAAATTCCAATTATTTTTCTGCTCTGTCTCTTCGAAAACAAGCAAATGTTCAGACCAATTTCAAATGTACCCGCTTCTCAAGGTGGTTATATTTTGCCAACAAGCCAGCTACACAACCTGGTTTTCCAAATAATTCCTGTCCTTGGCACTGAGGTCCTAATTCTCTACTACTCTGGATTTAGAAAGAGGCCTTTTTGTGAAGTTGGAGTCATAATTGTTTAGTTTTTTAAACTCTCCAGGCTCCCAAAACATCTTGCCATAATTGTATCTTATCCAATGGTTTCCCTTTCCTTCCTTCCCTTCACCCCTTCCTCCCTTCCTTCTTCTCTCTGTCCTTACTTCCTGCATGTAGTAATGCTTCTTCTCCACTTAGATGCTTAAATATTTTCCAAACAAGATCCCCCCCGGTAGCTATAAATTCAGATTGCTCTATTTGGACATGACCCACAGATCAGCTGGCATTTGAGAGTTCATGAATTCTCCACTATTGCTAAAGGAGGGAAGCCATAAACTACATGAGATGCTTAAATAATGACCTTCTGCTCTGTTTACTGTTCTTATGTTTTGAGGTTGCCTCACAGAAATAACCTTCACTCTGGCCTCTAGTAAATTGCTTTCTGAGTTAATATTTAACCCATGTCGAGGTAGAAATATCTTTTTAAATGTAGGCCAATCTTTCAAAGCATCTCACACTGATTTCCTCACCCTTTTTTGCATGGATGCTCATGTTAAAACTTTTGATTGCCTAACAACCTAATACCCATACACTTCCTTCTGTTTTCCAGAGCAACAGAGGTTATCAGTCAGTCCCTCCTTTGCTTTTGCCTCTGCACCCCACCTCTTCATCAGAGCAAAGCTTTCTTTCTTCTCTACATCAGAACCTGCAAGAAGGCTGCACTTATCCTCCCAATGTTATCCTGCATGGGACATGGAGAGCTCTTAAATGATGTTTTCTATAGGACTTCTCTGAGTACTCAAAAGCAATTGTCATGAAAGCTGAAATTTCATATATAGATGTCATTGCTCTAGCAATTACTAATGCACACCTTAAATGAAAAATGACTTGCATTTGAGAAGTTATCAGATACCTATCAGTATGTCCTCATATTAAGAGACACAGTTCTTGGGGCACCTGGGTGGCTCAGTGGGTTAAAGCCTCTGCCTTCGGTTCAGGTCATGATCCCAGGGTCCTGGGATCGAGCCCCGCGTCGGGCTCTCTGCTTGGCAGGGAGCCTGCTTCCCTTTCTCTCTCTCTGCCTGCCTCTCTGCCTACTTGTGATCTGTCTGTCAAATAAATAAATAAATAATCTTTACAAAAAAAAAAAAGAGACACAGTTCTTTTTGACTTTGGGAATAAATTAAAATTTGAAAGGCTAAGCTGTTCTTTCCTTGCCAGCCCCCAAAAGCTTACAATCGACCCAGTTGGATGCTATTTTTTCAGTGTTATTTGTGTATATGTGAGTATTCATCTTTCATTTGCTATAAATTACAATTGTTTTGCAGATTATGGTTTGACTCTCAAAATTACATATGTAACTTATTGAAAGGATGATTGTTCATGAATGCTTATGAATTGGGAGAGAACTGCTTGAAAAAAATGTCTACAGCTTGTACAGGTTTAAATCAAGTAAATAGTTAGATCTGGCATTCAATTTAAACATCATGAAGAAGCTATAATTCATTTAGAATATGGTTTACTTTCTCCAACAAGCGGTTGGTTCATGGCTTGACTTTTACAGCTGGGTGATGCCTGTTACATATACTCATTGTTCTTGACGCCCTATGTGCATTAACTATTTGCCTTCTTTAATGAAAGGAGCAAGTACTTTTGCCCATGATTATTCTTTAAACTTCTATTGTCATTGGATTATTGTTTAATATTGAAGACCACTGCTGTCCTCTTTCTTCTCTCTCCTCTTGAATTTAATAATTCTTTAACTCTCATGCCTCCACCATACCCAACACGTTCAGGCAGCCAACCTCTCCAAATGCCACCTTCCACCATCCATAAGTGGACATATGCCAGCCCTCAGAATGATTTATGGTCAACTCTAACTTTATGTTCAACAAACTAAGCTTTATTTTACACAATATAATGTGAACCGTGGAGATGATTTCCTTTTGATAAAAATAAATTTATTAAGTACTATTTATACTTTTCAATGTAAAATTCAAGGGAACACTACCACTGTGGAGTGAAATTTATCCAGTTACTTAAAAAAATGCCAAATGTGCATTGTAGACAGAGTTCCTTTCCGTCTCCTTCGGCAGGGATTTCCATCACACAAATGGACAGGGGAGCTCTGTTTTTTTCTGACAGCCCAAGGAGCCCAGGTACACTGGGGCTAAGACCTGTGCTCTCTCACACAGGAGAACAGTGTGGAGTTTGAGGCTTGCCTAGTGGCCCAATGTGATGCCCTCATCGACGCCCTCAACAGAAGGAAAGCCCAGCTGCTTGCACGTGTCAACAAGGAGCATGAGCACAAGCTGAAGGTAAGTGCTGTGCTGTGGGGAGGGCAGAAAGCTGAGGAGCCCAGGCTCCCAGGGCCAGGCTGGACAGGCTAGATGAGTAGGCCAGATGCCCACAGTCTTGGGTGGCCAGTGGCCCAGAGGGCAGGGAGCCAGCATCCCTTTATTCACCATGCACACCCTCATTTACCTCACTGATGTTTATTGAGTGACTCCCCAAGAATTGCTCTGGGTATAGACATAATTAGGTAAATAAAAATTACTGCCCTCGTGAGACTTATATTCCACCAGAAGGGATAAACAGTAAGCAAGAAAGTAAAATATGCAGTATTTAGTAACAGGCACTGAGAAAAATAATAAGGAATAGAGAATGGGAAAGTGCAACTGGACAGCTGCTCGGATTTTTGTCATCACACTGTGAAATCAATTGATTACAAGTCTAGGCCCCCATTGGCAAAAACATCGGTCCTCTTAGAGACATCTGATACCCCATCCATTGCCCCTTTAGAGCAGGGCAACAAGATGTGAGAGCAGGCTGAAGAGATGGGAAGGACCCAGCAGGAGGGAACTCAGAAGCAAGCAGTCAGAGAGGTCCACATGCTCTGCCATAAGCCCCAGGGTAGCTACCAGTGGGAGGAGGATAAGGGGTATGCAGTGCTGGCCTGATGAGGGCAAAGAGAGAGGTGAGGTCTGACTATAGCCTCTCTAGTGCAGTTAGGCAGTCAACATCAGGGAGCTTCGATAGTGGGCAGCAGAGAACGTATACAACCTCAGGGGAGCTTGTGAAAGGCCCCATAAACATCAGATACCCCAGGAGATTTGGAACAGGCTGTAGTTGTTGAAGAACAAGGAAAGGCCCCATTTCTAAACGAATGGGATTCCAGTAAGAGGACCAAAGAAGAGTTTCAAAATGAAGAAATAAGAAAACACAGCTTACAAGATTTGGGGCTCAAGGTTGGTGGCGGGGAAGCTTCAGGCTGGGCCAGTACCCATCTTGTGGTGACCAGAAACAACGCAATAAACTAGTTGCTAACTAGGGCATGAGTCCTGGACAAGACCCATGGTAAGACTGGCAATGCTGGGCCCTGAGTGGCAGAATCACCAACCTTCCAACTTTACTCTGTGCCCCAGCCACACACCAGGACCGCAAGCTCTGGGGTGGGGGGTGGGGGAGGTCGCTGCCAGAAGGCAGGGGGCCAAATGGCCAGATACACAACCGCTCCCCAGGGAAGCTTAAGTTTTCTCCAACAGTTAGAAAACCCCAATCTAGCTTCCTCTTCTACAAGGCTCCCTCTTCCACAGCCCACCTGCTGCAAAATACAGAGCATGTGGCGGGAATAGAAACCTTTCTCCCCTGCCTCAGGTGTCCCTCTGAGAGGACCTGTGGAACTGCACCAGGCAGGAGGCAGAGATGGGATAACAAGGTCCAAGCCTGGAAGAGCTCCTGGGGGCTATGCCCCGTGATGAAGCTTGTTGGCCTGACACCCTCTGAGGGCCACGGCTCTCTGAACGGTCCTGACAAGGCAGCTGCGGTGCCCTTTTATCAAGGAGAGGCACAGCAGATGCCTTGATAAAGAAAATTGCATGGCTTGAAGTTAAATCTGAAGCAGGAGTTGGGAAAGGAAAGTGCACAGGGCTCTAACGTTCCTAGAACATCAGCCTGTTGGTTTGGACAGGAAGCCAAGGCTGGCGATGATAACACTCCTTCCAGAGACGCCATTACTGTTTCTTAGTGGTGCCTCTAATTGGAAGATCCTCTTAGGCTCATGTTAGAACAAACTCAAACCTGTTTCCATCACCTGCTCTAACATTACTAAGCCCTTCATTTCACACCCTTCAGAAACCTAGAACCTTTTTTGTCATGGTGGAGCTCAAATATCACTTGAATCCCATAGAGCTCTCTAAAGGAAAACCCCAGCTGTCTGCAGGAAATGAGCTGGACGGCTGGATTTTCCCTCTAAATAGTAGACCCACCATTTTTGTATGTAGTCACCAAGTGTTAACTTTTCCTCAGTAGAAATCTCTTTTTTAAGTTGTTGCAGGCACTTTCTTGGTATCTTTAAACCATTTGTGATAAATCGTACAGGGCCTATGGTGGCCACTGCAGGTTTCCTACCTGGGAGAGGCAGAAGGGCGATGATCTGGACCGAAAAGGGAATCGCAGATTGAGAAAGCATCATTTATGCATATCAAACAGCAGCAGAGGGGCACGAGAGCCCCCTGAGCCCCTGCTGCCCCTGTGGGATGGGACTGTGTGAAAATCCGTTGAGGGTTGTGCTGGGGACACAGAGAGAGAGATCCCTCAGGAACGGCTGCTGCTCATTGCCCAGGCTCCACGTGGGGCGACAGTCTGTCTGTCCAGGTGACCTGTCCCAGCGGGACACACCGATGCACCCAGGGCCGCTGAGCAGAGGCAGCTGCCTGCTCTCATGTCGCCCTGCCCCTCGTGGAGTGCCCTGCCCCAGATCCCGAAGGGCCGAGGAAACAAGAGGCAGGTGGCTGGTTGTCCCCCACGGCAGCAAAGCTGTTCTGTCTTCTGTCGTGAGCGATTTGTTTCTCCGCCGTTTTCAGCAGATTGTATGTCACTGCTAAAAACCGCCAGCAGCGCCGACACCCGGACCATGGACGCCAGCCTCCAAGTCTCCCTCCCTCTGCTTTTCTCTTCCTGCCGTTCCCCTTTCTTGTCATTTCTGTTGCTACTCAGATCTGTGAGAAAAGACTGGCCTTTTATAGACAGCCCTCGCCAAGCACAGTACTTCTTTCTGTCTTTGTTGGCCGACCCATCACTCACAGTCGGGCAGGGATAATCTTATGGTCTTCCGCTCCCCTTTGGCAGAGTTCTCTAGGGGCCTGCTTTTCACTGACAAAGAGGAGAGTTGTGTGTGTACTTTTCTGGCAACTTTCTCTTCTTGAGCAATCCAAAAGGCCTGGGATGCTGGAAAGGGAGTGTGTATAAAGAGTCTTTATGATCTCCTCAGGCCCCTCTCTGAAAGCACTGATTGCTGGAGCAGATTGGATGGTTCTGGTTCTGAGACAAGCTGCAGCTGAGAGGTGAAGAGCCCAGCTTCTGTGTCACAGAGAGCGGGGTGGGAGGACACACTTCCTCACTTACTAGGTCTCCAACTGTGGGCAAGTCTCTGGCTCAGTTACTTTCACCTGCGGGTAAAATCAGGCCAGGAGCGGTGGTCACCTCACAGAGCATTGCCCAGCACTTCCGGCAGTCCTCGGGAAATGTTGTTAGCCCTGAAAGGATGCCTAGAAATGTGCTGGCACCCAGCATATTGAAGAAGTGCTCCTAGGGACTTACGGTCCATAATACCAGAGTACGTCATATAGAAATCATCTATACACAGGTGTGATTGTCTCTGAACCTAGGAGAGTGGCTTGTGTTTTTAATTGATCATCCTATGAAATAGTTCACGAAGTTTGGTGAGCTATTTTTAAAATTAGTAAAAAAAAAAAAAAAAAGGCTTGGAGACATATGTATGCAGCTGTGACCATATTTTAGGAATATTTGAAATAGAAATTTTGTTTAATATTATTCTGTGGTTTGAAAAAAAAAACACTGGGAGACAAATATCTAGTTTTGGGATGTGGTAAACTAATCAAATGTCAGAAAGCTACTGAAGGGGAAAAAATGCTTTCGAGCTTTCAAGAAATACTACTGATTCGTGTTTGGGACAACGTGGGCAAAATCCCCACAATAAGCACTGTAAACCCAATCCCCTGGTGTCTTATTTGCACTGTATGTTTTGTGACCATTCTTCCTGGGCCTTCCTGACCTGAGTAAGGCCTTAAAATATCCTCACAGGGAATTTGTGACAATACTTAAATGTGCCATTAGTGAGATCCGTGTTTTTCTCATGAAACTTACAAATAACATTTCTGAGAATGATTTTTATTTATGTAACACTCAGAATTTGAAATAATTCTACAGTCATCTTAAATGTATATTTGTTCCAATATTTTAGAGTAAATTCATATGTTGAATAGTACAAGGTGACAGGTGTCTTCTTGGTTACCTTTCAATTCTAAGATTTTCTGGAAGAAAAAAGTTATAGTTATTAAAAAAATTCTGAAAAAATTTAATCTTTAATTTCCACATGTGGGTGGCCAATGAATGTACCAACAAAATTATCCAGTGAGAATGCTAAAAGAAAATGATAAAGTTTGCTGTTTCTTACAACATTTTATTTTTACAGATGACCTCCACATCCAATTGTAACCATATATAAAATGTTTGACTTTGGATCCAAGTATATTGTTGGGTTTTGTTAGAATTATTATCATTATTAGCATCATTGTCTTTATTATTATTTGCCATGTATTGCCTGTCGTGTTTCCATTACGTTTATTTAGAAAAATGAATTATATGGTCATTTCATTCAGAGTACAGATTTACACTAGGGACATTATTGGCTTGTCAAATTACTTCCTTAGGCTATTTTGCCATTGCTTCAAAACAGGCTAGTAATCCTTTGACTTAGGTTGGGCTAGGAGATGGGAAAGAAAGAAAGAAAGAAAGAAAGAAAGAAAGAAAGAAAGAAAGAAAGGGGGGAGAGACAGAGAAAGGAAAGAAAGAAAGAGAGTGAAAGAGAGGGAGAGAGAGAGAGAAAGGAAAGAAAGAAAAGAAAGGAAGGAACAAAGAAAGAGAGAGAAAGAAAGGGGGAGGGAGGAAGAAAGAAAAGAAGGAAAGGAGGGAGGAAAGAAGGAAGGAGAAAAGAGGAAGGGAAGAAGGAAGGCAAAGAAAGGGAAAGGAAATGGAAAGGAAAGGAAAGGAAAGGAAAGAAAGGAAGAAAGATGGAGGGAGAAAGGGTGGAAGACAGACCTACCCAAGTTCACAAAACTTTAAGTAATTAGATAGGATTTGACAGGCTACAGCCCTTACTAGAAAGAAAAAGCAACAAATTTATGCCAATAATCAGCTCAATCCCAATAAAACTACTGGCAATAAGTTCTGTAAGTCCATTACAATGAAGACATTTGGAAATATTAAGCACACTGGAACACTTGAAACGTTGACT